GCCCGACTTTACGTGTTAAAATCAGCTTTAAATGGTTATTAGCTTTTTGTTGTCATTTCTCTTTCTTGAACATTGTCAGCAAGAATTTGTTTTATCCATACAAAAATGATTATACGTTCTCCCTCTTTTAGTCTACAGTTTAATTCTAATACATTCTTGTAATTATTCCTATTCAAACACTAATCCAAATTGATGCTAATATAATTATATGTATACAAGATAATGATTATATATAGGAAAATAATTGGTTATTTAAATTTGTCCACTTGGGATTTGAGGGAAATCAGGTGCTTTCAATTTTATTTCCACCTGGGTTGAAGCTCAGTATCTAAATAAAAGTCTTCAACGATTCCTTCTCTGCTTTAGAAACTATTCGTACCTCGAATCCCCCATGATTCATTAGTTTTTTCATGTTTTAACTCCCGGTTGAATCACACATTAATTTGTAATTACGTCATAGCTGAGTTAGTACGCGGTGTTTGATATTTACCTTTGGTGCTTCTGGGCGATAGGCCACAGCTGAAGGTTTTCCTCATATGGTGCCCACGTTGAAACTCGGCATCCACGACTGGATGCGCATCCTCTGACGAAGGCTTCTGCTGCCTGCGCTTGCGACTCAGGGGTAGGGTACGTGTGCGTGCGGGTTCGTGGGGCAAGCTTGGCTGGCCAGCACCAATGGCTAGGGGGTCTTCTTTGTCCAGCTCCTCCAGGTAGTTGTCCAGGTCCATGAGGTAGTCCTCGACCTTGTCGTCATCGGAGTATGGTGTGTCGCAAGTGGAATTACAGTTGCCATTAAGCTGCGATGCGCCGTGCACATCGAGAATGGCATCCAGCTCATTTAGCACACTTAGCGCCTCTTCCGGCACAACGGCTGACTGTTTGATGGGCGTACTCAGGGGTGGTTCCTGGCTTACGTCACAAAATGCATCTCGCTCATCGTCAACAGACAGCGGCATCTTAAAGCTAATTGGATGCGGATGCTGCTGCTGTTGTTGATAAAAGCTCTGCGGCGTTTGCTGTATCTCAATCAGATCCTCATCGCTTGGCTCATCATCGTAATAGCCGCACGCCTGTTTAATCGATTCGCTGGATAAACTGTGCGATAATCCATATCTTTCTGGCTCTCGTAACGGCTCTTGTCGTTGTTCTTGCTGCTGTTGTTTACGTTTCACTTTAGTTGTTGTTGCGGGCAAGCTTGCGTAGGCGTTTGAATTGCGCTTGAATTCCCGGCCTGCTGCTTGTTCTTTGCCGTTCATATTGTTCGCATTGCCGATCAGCTGTTCTCTGGGTCAGTGCTGCAAAGCGATTGCTAAAGTCCTGTAAATAAACCAAGCGGATGCAGTGTTGTTCAGTGCAAATTGCTGCAGGTCAGGTGAAGTAACAGTGAAATGTTATAGCTCTAAAGTCTATACAGCAGTGATTGGCTTAGCATTACAAGACAACATTGAATACATTACAAATATACAATTCTTTTAAAATACTGCTGCAAAAAGTCGGCTGTGATCATCCTGTACGCTCACAAACAGCCGTAGTGCTGCTTAGTAACGAATTGTGGCAGGTCAGGTTTTGCAAGTTCTATTAGAGATGAGCAGCAATGGCATAACAGTCACGATTAACGATGTAACATCGGCACACTCAAAAAATACCAAAACCTATGAATACAATTAGGATTTTTGTTTAAAATTCGTAATATTAATCCGAAAACAGTCCCTGCATGAACAATAACAAACAAATTAAATGAACTCCAAATAGAGTCTTAAATAATAGCAAATTGTGACTGCAACTGCAACTTGAGACTTGTGCATGCGCAGCACAAGTTCAAGTATGTATAACACTTGAACGCGCGATTGGCGGTTTTCAATTTAAATAGCTCACTTTGCCAGATAGCCAAATGCAATCAAATGCAAACAAGCGTGTGCTTCCCACAGTCATGATACGTTTGCACGTGAGTGGACTCTAGCGACAGGTAGCGAACAACAACAAAAAGTAGCAGAGAAAAACAAACAGCTGTCCATAAAATGTGACAGCCGTAAATAGCAAAAGCGAAAAATAAGAGAGAAAAATAAATAAAAAGTAGAAGTAAAATAAAGCAACGCTGCGCGTGTTCATTCAACTGATCAGGTGAATGTACTTCCGTTAATAACTCTTTATTTACGGTATGCGCAGGTAAATGTGTGTGTTTCTCGATGAGTACTGATTGTAACTGAAAGGGAGTGGTATGTCTGCCAAAATCTATGCACGTACATATGTATGTACAGACAGATATACATGCACACACATAAAGCTGTCCGTCTAGAGCAGCGAGATCGCGATCGTTGGCACGTTACCTCGATTAAAGTAAATGTCTTCTCACAGCAGCAGCAGCAGCAGCAGCAGCAGCAGCAGCAGAAACCACAAATACAAGAGTTTCAAGTCTGGTTTTCTTGTCGTTTCAGTTTATTTCGAATATAACCGTGACCTTCTCTAAAGTTTTGTCGCTGCCAGTGTGGCCATAATGTTTGAATACTGAAGCCAGTATGGCCGTAAAGAGAGCAGCAGAGATCTCAGCTTTTAGCACTCGAAAATGCAGACAGAGGGGCCTTTAGCGTGCAACTACTCTATATTTGAGCTAATAGAATCAACCAGCAGCTGTATATTAATTGTTGACTCTAGAGGTCACATTATTTAGCGAACAGATGTCATTGATCGCAAATTCACACAGAGACCTGCAGTCGTCTATCTCCACTACCTCCCTGCTAAATGTCTGCCGTAAGCGACTTTCAACACTGTCAATCCTTTCCCCCTTGAGATAGACTAGCTACCGTTAAATTTCGCTCCCATTTCGAATGCATATGCGAATACCGAATACCGAATACCGAAATGTCGAAGTAAAAGTAAACAAGCAATAAGCAATTAGTGCTGCCACACGAAATACATTAACAGCAGAAGAGAGGAGAGGCGATCACGGAGGCACTTGACCTTCGTGCGAAAATGGTAAACACCCCAAGCAGCAACTGCAACTAGTTTTCTTTATTGTATATATTTTGTTGTCTGTTTTGTTAGTGTTGCAAAAATGCCACCGCCACTTGCAATTTACAATGAAATTGACATTCAGCAAAAATCAAACAAAACTAGTTAATCAACGGGTTGAGAAACAGCGATTAGTGACACACACACACAAGCAAGCAAGCAAACTAACGCACGCATCAACAAAGAGAGCGAGAGAGTGAACACATCCATTTTGGCTTTTTTTATAGCTAAATGCTATATCTATTCTCTTCTCAATTACATATTAAATGAAATACAAAAGAAAAAAAAAATATATATATATATATATATTATTTTTATTTATTGATTTTTTTATTTTTTTCCTCAGACAACTTTTAGCTAAACCAGATCTAGCTATTTTGTTAGCATCTTAATCAGCACTTGATATGATTGCTGTAACATTAAAAACCCGCATATTATTAACACTGTTTAACACTGCATTCGTGTGTTGGCGTACAACAAGCCTGTATAAACTGCAAAATGATTGTCTATAATTATGTTTATTTTTGTTAAGCAAAGAATAAAGCACGGTTTTTTATGTGCAATTTTCTTTTTATGGAGAACAAACACAGCAGGCAGATAAATATGGAGAGACGGAGAGAGCGAATGAGGGTGCTAGCATCAACTGCATGCATGAGTAATAGAGCAACGACGCTGGCAGAAATTAGTTTTGCGTATTAAAATTGCAATTAAGATCAATATTTTAGTATTGCGCCGGGTCGCGGGCAATGTGCGCCAATTGCTAAGCAATAGAGAAACAGAAGAATGCAAAAGCACACACACACGAAAACACAATCATTTCATATGTATATTCAAATGTAAATATTTACTAAGTGAGAACGCGGAATTTATTTATTTACATACATACAAATGTATGCCGACGTTATAACGGGAATTGGTGCTCAGCTACTGCGTGTCGAAATACCTTTTACTAAACAAGCACTGATACAAACGCACACACACACGCGAGCGCAGAGCGGGTCCCAGTTGTACGAAATATAATAACTGTTCTTATGGCAACCGAAAAAGCACAACAAAAGCAAATTTGCTGAGCTGCTGATTTTTTCCTCATAATTCTCCGCACGAGTTTTGCAATTTTTGGGGGAATACCTTGTGCATTGGTCATACGTAGGGTTTAGCGCCACCTAAATTAATTCGATACCAGACGATGGTGGATCCTCAATTAGTTGTATATATATATATATACACACACTCATATACATATGAGAGTGTGTCTTTATACAAACACACAGCCACAGAATACATATGTATGTATATGCGCTGATAGAGATACGTGACGTATGTGTATATTTTTCATTTCGAAACGAAAACTCTGGAGAGTATATTTTGTAAAGATTTTTTCGTGGCGTCAATTTACGAAACTTATCAAGAGTAACAGGCACCACCAATCGCACACACATAGATACAATGGAAAGGGGAGCGCGTTGGCGTTGCTGCCGCCGCTGCTTCTTCTGCTTCTTCTTGCCACACAATCACAATGTTGCACTCTAACTCTCACTCACTATCTCGCTCGCGCTCGCGCTCGCATACTTAGTAGAAGCAGTTAGCATAATGCACACACGCACCCAAATGTGTGTATAATATAATACTCACACATAAACGCAGAGGAACGCGCGTATTTGGTATCTTGTATCTAGTTTATCTTCTTTTTTCTAAAATTATCTGTCACAATTCTTTGCGTTATTGTTGCGTCCGGTACGCAGAAACATCAGCTTAACTAAACAAAATAATTATCGTGAGCACTTTTTTTTCATATTCATTCCAAGATCGGAACGCGCGAGACACGTCCACTTCATCTAGAAACAGTCGACTGACGAGTTTCACTAACAAATATAACAGCCATATAACAGATAATAACATTGTTAATACAAGCGCTCGTAGCAAAGCTACGTTTTTAAGAAATTCTGTTACCAGCGTTCAATTACTCTAAAACTGTTACTAACTTATCGATAATACATTATTAATTAATTAGCATTAGCATTAAAACGAATTTTATGCGGTTAATATTGAAATTGGAAAGTTTTAGTAATATATAAAACGTAGCCAGTGCTAAAATATATTAAAAAATAATGCATTATTAAACAATATTTATGTCCCAAAGCGAATTATTTTCTATCTGAAACGGTAGATCGATACGCCGTCAAAGTAGATAATACATCGATTCCGAAACGATAACACGTGTAGCTGTTAATAACATTATAGCAACATGCTAAGTAGAAACACAGCTGTTTACCCAAATCAAATAAAATATTAAAATGGAGTTGGAAGGGTCAGAATTAGGTACAAGGGAATACTGGGAAACCAGCTATGCACGAGAAATTAAAAACTACAAAAACCACGGCGATATAGGGGAAATTTGGTTTGACGAAGACTCCCAACAACGAATTGTCGACTGGCTCTTGAAGCAGGAAAATATCGACAAGAAAACAGCACGTGTCCTTGACTTGGGCTGCGGCAATGGCATGTTTCTGATAGCCTTAGCCAACGAAGGCTTCGCACGGTTAACGGGAGTTGACTACTCCCCAAAGGCAATCGAGCTGGCCATGGGCATTGCCAAGGACCAAGCTTTAGACATAAACTACAAAGTGGCGGACTTAACCCAAAGCGAATCTCTGGCTCTGGGTACCTACAGCATAATTCATGACAAGGGCACTTACGATGCTGTCAGTTTATGCCCCGATGACCCCAAGGAGAAACGCAACAGCTATTTATCCACAGTTTCGAAACTGCTGCAGAATGAGCAAAGTCTCTTCATTATCACCTCCTGCAACTGGACGGAGGAGGAGCTACTGCACAGCTTTGAACATCTCTTTGTCAAGCATTGCACTATACCCACGCCCACGTTCAAATTCGGCGGCAAGGTGGGCAATGTAGTGACCTCTGTAGTATTTAAAAAGAAATCAAATTAAATAGCAACCGCAAAGTGAATTAAAATATTTCGACTACTTTTTAATATCTATTAGAATTTATAACCAAAATGTGCTTCACGTTTTCATTAAAAGTAGTTATTTAAAAAATAATAGTGTAAGATAATCGACTTAAAAACAGGACCTATATATAATGAAACCAACCTATTTTAAATATCTAAAAATCAATCGTAAACATACTGATAAAGTCGTAATAATAAATACCTTTTTAACATTTATATATATTTATCAATAATTACATTTGGTTTTTATGGATAGCAAAAGGTAATTGGCTCTTCAAGCCACGAATAACAAGATATAAACACTTTTGCGCCTTCTAAAAATACTCTAACAGATGGAGTCATAAAAGGGGTGCATGATAAATATATTTAATCTAGCTAACTGGGAGTTAACGATTTGATATAGACATATGTAGATATACAAGCTCACAACAAATAGATTTTGCCTATTCAATCCAATTCACAAATTTAAAATGTAAAAAGGCATAAATCTATATACAACATATCGATCAGCAATTCATGAGAGGATATTTAAAAACAGTAAACAGTTGATTCAATATTTTAAGAACAAACAATCTGATAATACACTTAAACATTCGACTCACGACACAGTTAGTAACATTTTAAAGTGCGTTATCAGTTAGACAAACTATAAAAACAACTGACAGACACGCCCACCACCGTCCTTCTTCAGTTGCTCCGTTGCTCAGTTGCCTAGGCGATACAAGTACATAGTAGACATTAATTATGCTAAGGTCTTTCCATTAGGGATATGCAGGTGACACTCAGGAGAGGAAGGTGCGCACAAATCCTTTGATTTCCGCTCGACACATTGGACAATTCGCCACGCTGGGCGCGCATTGATTGCAGGTCGCTGCAGGAAGAGCGAGAGAAGCGTTACCAAGTGTCTGAAGAAAATCAGAACTCTGTCACTCACCCAAATGTCCACATGGTAGGAATACCACGCCAACCTCTTCGTCCAGACACACTTTGCACAGGCGCGCATCCCTTAGCTGTCGGTTCTCCTCTTCCAGGGACAAATTTCCATTCGGATTGGACGTGGTGACTACTCTAGCAGGAGTTGCTACAGCTACATCAGCGGTGGCTGCTGGGTCAACAGCCTGCGGCTTGACAGGCCCCATAGGCGCCGCTTTGCTCGTCGTGGCTTCGCAGCCAGCGCTAACTGGAGTTGAAGCCGTTGGCTCTGTTACCTCCAGCGCAGCGCCAGAGCCACCAGCGTCATCAAATATGGCATGCAACAGATCGTCCAGCGTGTCGTAGGCACAGCCGGAACTCGAAAGCTTTCTGGCAATGGTGCTCCGCACTACGCCCACATCGATGCCCAAAGCCAGAGCCGCACAGGCCGGAGCGGCCGACATGGCGCTGCCAATGCTGGTGGGTAGTTCTGGCGCTGTGGCCGCTGTAGGGGATGCTGTCGTTGCATCGCGCACCTGTCGCACATATTGGGGCCCCTTGGCGAGCAGCACGAACTGACACTTTGGCGACCATTTGGCGTGCTCGTGCCACGGCTCGTCTTCCTTCTGCCAACTGCGCAGGCCAATGTTACAATGAAAGCATCGCACCAAGTCATCGGTCTTCTGATAATATAAGCCCGCCTGGGCCAGCGCCTCAGCAGGCTGTATATTCGCAATGGGCCAGTTGGCAAAGGTACGTAGACGCGCCTCGATGCACGAGAATTGTGGACGCTGGGGCGTCGTTGTAGGCTGTATGCCCAGTTCCTCCAGATCCTTGCCACCGAACTCGATTAGCGGCCCCATCTGTACACGCGGACAGTTGGGAAAGAAGCGTTTGTGCTCGTCAAAGGCATTGTCGTTCTTCTCCCACTTGGCAATGACGCCTTTGCACCACACACACCTCACGTGATCCGATTGCTTTAGATAATAGAAGCCAGCTTTTGCCAAGGCTTGTGGCGTGATATTTGGATTCTGAAAGGATTTGAATTAATTGCAAATTCTTCTAACATAAATAGTGGGTACAAACTGGCCAATCCTTGAATGTTTCGAGTCGATTTGCTTCGATGAGCAAATCTGGACAGGCGCATTGTCCTTGCTGCCCTGCGCCGCCATCAACGACGCTGTTGCCTTCGTTGTCGCTTCTCTGGTCCCCAGCAGCTGCCCCGGATTCTAAGGGCACATTGCCACAGTGATTGGGGGCCAACACCATTGAGCAAATGGGCGAGGCGGCGCGATGTCTGTCGGCTACCTGATCACCATATTCCCAGTGGTCGATGCGCATGTGACAGAAGTTGCATTCCACCTCCAGCCAGTTGCCCGTAGCAAAGAACCCATTCTTCACCAAGTCGTCGACCAGAACTGGCGCATTGGTTGGCCATTGGGCAAACGTCCTGATTCGTTCACTCTCCAATTCCAACCGACGTTCGGTCATTTTTGCGAATGTGTGCGTTTTCTTGTAATGATGTAAATTGCGATCTATAGTTGAACAGATGAACAAAAAAAAAAACTGAAACGCAGCTGCAAAAGTAGTTTATTGATTCCGTGCCAGTGTGACCGTTTCGCGCTAGCCACCCGAGGAATTGAGATAAGCACCTTAGTCACCCTGTAGTCAAATAATTACAATAACTCTTATATGACTAAATCTATCTAAAATACAATTAAACCATATTTAACTACCACTACTGGGTAAAATGAAATGTGAATAATCCATTGACCGAACACTGTTTACTGCGGCTTTTAAATTGGTCACACTGTCTGCTTAACATATGTTTCGCCGGCACCTTTATTTTATATATTCATTTATTTACATCATATTCACATTCTGCCCCCTCCCATTAAATATACAAATGTTTTCACTCTTATGAATACATGAATACACAAATGATTTTACTCTTCAACGTACTCATTTTATTGAAAGAATCACTTAGAAAGACTTGCTCCTTAAAAACGTGAAAACCAAGTGGTAAACGCACGTAGTGCGTCGTCCATCCCAGTTGATCTCGGTCGGGGTATTCCACTTTTTACTGGAAATAGGTCCTTGGCTTTCTGTACGAGAACAGTTTCCTGTTGCCCTTGTGGTGAACACGTTGCACCAGTGGGAACTTGATCTTGGAGTCGTGGAACTGCTTGACATGCACACGACGCGTCTTCGAGGCTGGAATAGATTCCACCTTGATGATTTGAATGGAGTGGGCGCGGGCACGATGACGAGCGCCCATGTCACGGTAGCACTGTGTGACGGCACCCCCAACGGTCAGATCACGGTACTCGCGGTACATGTTATGTGTGCCCGAACGCGAATCGTAGCGCAGCCATATGCCGAAATTCTTGATCTTGATGGGCGACGTTTCGTATACCTGTTTCAGGGAGACGATTTCGCCGGTGGTTTTCTTGAACTTCTTCAGCTGACGCAGAAAGTACCAGAAACGGGATTTGGCGACAATGTTGTCAGGAGCGAATATACGCATTTTATACAGAGGCGTCTGTGGCTCCTTCTCGCTGGGCAGCTTACGGCCAACGACCTCGTATTCCTTCAACTGCAAGCAAACAAATTTGTTAATAAATTAAGATTTTTATATTTTTATGTAAACAAATGCGGCAAACAGGTAGTCCAGACACACAAACACAAATGCGCGTACACACACAGATAGTCCACGCGGGACTGAAATCTTTTTTATACAGGTTATGCGTAAATCTTTAATAACCAACTACTAATTCCAAAAGTAGTATATCAGAAAATACTTTTATTTCAATAAAAATAACTCAAATAATACTATAAAAGAAAACCCGTCATATAGAAGCATGACGACCGCATTGCTCATAGTGCTGCATTCCAGTAGGCGATTGTTTTTCTTGCACATTATTACCCATTTTTATAGTTCATAAATTAAACTGATTTTCCGCTATGTTCGCTAGCTTGTTGCACACATTTTTAGACTAATTTGCACTGGTTTTTGTTTATTCTTATTAAATACTAACCAATCCCTTGGCTCTCATGATGACGGCTCACGCGAAAAAGGAAACGGAAAGAGACATCAAAGTCCAATTTACACTGAACCCAAAAAATTTGCGCAGTGTTGCATTGGGACGCTGCTGATTAGTGTTGCTTTTGGACAGTCACCACAGCGTGCTTTATCTGTTATCGTCTCATTACGCATCGCTAGGCTTCTGCGCGTGTTCAGTGGCTGCGAACGTCGATAAAATTGCTAGAATTTTGCTTTTCTCGCGATATTTCAGCAACAATAATAGTAAATACACAAATTGTATACATTACTGTTAGTAAATGCAAGTCAATTGCCAATGGCCGAAATCATTGAATCAAACAGAGAGTGAGCTTAAAATAAAAAGCCCATGAAGAGTGACCAAAAAATGCACAGCGCAATGAGACGTGCGAAAAAATTTCCTATATTCACAATTTAAAGCAAGCCCAACAAAATTTGTGAGCGGTAAGCAAATACGCTTCGTTGTGAAATTAGCCCGCGTGTTTTTCGCCACATATTACGCAGCCGAATGCGCAAATGTATTAGAAAATAAAGCATAAATTGTATAAGCGCTGAGGCTAACGTCTGGCCAATCCACACACAAGTGGAAGGTGTAGATGGGCAAAGCGCAAGGCAAGGGGTGTTGTTCTTGTCAAGAAAGAAAAAAAAAAAAAAAACGCGCGGTTGCCGCTCCGCTGGGCGCTCCGTAGCCGTGCCTTGCTCAGTTGTGCAGCGAGCGTCCGTGCCGTCGGTTGTGGTGACTTCTCTCTCTCTCTCTCGCTCTGTGTATATTTGTTTGCGCGCGTAAATACTGCTGCGTGTCCGCCCCGGTAGCTGCTGCTTTGAGCAGGTAAGAGAGACGCGTGCATAATGCTTACAAAATACAGATATGCCTTTTTTGTGATTGCTCGAGTCTTTGTTTAATTTTCTATTCTCGCGTTTGCTTTGCGCATAATATTTAAAGTAAAAATTGCGAATTTATTTTTAGATTTTATAAAATACAAGAAGTTTTGCTTTTTCTTTTTTCCTGCTCTTTTCTTCTCCTTCGTAGCATATTTTGCGGAATTTATTTTGGTATATTCAATTATCTGCGTTTCTTTGTGTGCGCATTTCTTTCGGCACCAGGGCTGGCAAAGTATTTGCAGGAGTCTCAATGAATTGAAAATATTTTAGTTTTTGGCTTCTCTTTTCTTTTCTTTCTCTCATTTCCTTCGTTCTGTTTTTATCGCCAACCGCGCTATCACAGCGGTTCAGCAACAAATATGTCCATATGTAATACAATTTTACTCATTTGCGTTTACTTTAATTTCTTTCAGTATCATCAAGAAGGGCAACCCAATACAGTAAACACGACGCTGTACGGCATGCAAAGGTAAATATAAATTAATCGATTAGCTTGCATCGATAATTTTGTTAATTTCTGTTTTTGTTTTTCCCATGGTAGCGCATAAATGCAAAAAGATGATGGAAGCTTTGGAACAGCATCAAACAAAGAGCAGGCCTAACAATGAGCCCCATGAGGGCAAGACGGAAACGACGCCGGCTACCAGCGAAGAGGATGACACAACAGAAGAGCACATCAATGTGTGCGACCTGGAAGAGAAGGATAAAAGGAATAGCTCTCCACGAGAGCTGAACCTAAAAGTCGAGCAGCATGATCGACAGAGTCCTCAAGAGAATGGACGGGACACTGAAGAGTCGGAGGAGCCAGCATTTCCAATGGCCAACAGCGTAAACGAGTCGATTGAGCACCCATCTGAAAGTGGTCTGAAAGTAGAAAGTGCAGTGGAAGAAAAAACTACTGAGAGTGACGATCTTAATGAGAAGCCCTCCACATCACATGATGCCACGAAATGCCTAATCGACATAAAAGTCGAGCAGGCGAGTCCCAAACTTGCGGCCAATGTCAACGATGATTGCGAATCCTGCTTCTCGGATAAGCCAAATAGCTCTCCAAACCAACAAGATGACCAACAGAATGGGGAGTTAGGAGGAATGGACTCGCCGGAGATGGGAGTGAATGCTGAAACTTCTTCGATTAATGAGGTGTTTTTAACAGATCAAGTAAAAGTTGAGGATAAAAGCCCGCTACCATCAGTTATGACAGATGAAGAAGGCTTCTCGCCGCCTGTGATTAAAATGATTGCTGAGAACTCTCCAAGTGATGTTGAAGAAATCTCATTACTTAGGCAGATTCCGACAAAAGATAATTGTACACATAAGGTAAACGTGACTGAGGAAACCTCAACTTCGCCTCTCAGGATGCAGGAGGAGGAAAGATCCTCATCATCATCTTCAACTGCGTTAAAAATCTCCGAAAATATTAAAATAGAAAATCGAGAGGCAGTAGACTATGCAGAAGGTGAAGGAGATGAAGAATTCCACAGTGAAAAAGAGGATACAGAGGAGGAGAAGGAGGAAGCATCTTCACCAGTGTATAAAAATGATGAAGTTGATAGGGAAATGTCTCCACCTGCTAAGGCTACAACACTACCTGTAATCAATGATCTTTCCCCCGCCAGCATACCTGATGATGAGGAATCCTCACAAGACTTTGATTCTGAAATTAAAATTGAGGAAACCACTCCAAAGTTGCCAGAACCTGAGCGCGAATTGCCCATGGAAATAATTAAAATCGAATCTGATTCCGAGAATGAAGACGTTGAGATAGAATCGGAGAACATCGTCGATGAAATTTATGGCAGTCGTACAGCTGACGATGACGTCCAAATGAAGCCAGAGATTCAGCAAAGTGATCATCTGATTAAGGAAAGACAAGCAATTGAAGTGCTGCCTAAAGTAAAAATAAATGGGGCTCATGTAACAGTCGAAGAATTACAGTTGGCAGAGGAATCAGAGCGGGAAGAAGAGCAAGCTCAGATTACAATGCAACAGTCTGTGATAGAAAATGAGAACGACGAACCGCAGCAGCAGGAACAGGAGCAGGAGGTGCCGCACCAACTGACCAGGAGAAGCAGTACCAGCAGCTCCGATAGCTCCGCATCACAGCAATTGGTCATAGATCAGCCCGAGAGCGAGCAGCAGAGCAAACAGCAGCCGCAAATGGACGAGTCGGTCCAAGATCGGGAAACGTTGCTAGCAATGAAGCGCAGGCGCAGCTGCAGCAACAGCGGAAGGAACGGGGCGGACAACGGCGATATCAACAGCAAGCATCTGTGCATAGAAGAGAAGCAGCAGTCGTCTCCCCTGCTATTGCAGCGTTTGCAGACACCGGCAATAACTTGCAACGAGCTCACACAGTGCAATGCTAGCAAATTTAAGAACTTACAGCAATTGAAGGCGCATTCAGTGCAATGCAAACCACAGGCGGAGACAACATTGCCACCAGCAGAATCCCCTGTAGCAGCATCAGAAAGAGCAGAAGCATCGGCGCCCGTGACTCTTTGCAATCCGGCATCCACTCCCGCGCCCCCCATAAAGAAGGAGCGTTTCTTTCGCTGCGCACGCTGCAGCACTGTACATCAATGTTGGAACTTTTTTCTACACATGCGGGAAGTGCACCATCGTTACATTTGTCTCTACTGTTCGCACGTGTTCGCCAGCGTGGAGAAACTGTCTCTGCATCTAGAGAACAAGCATGACATGGACCAACGGCACTTTGCCAGTGTCGAAGCGTGGCAGGCGCAGCAGAATCAGGAGGACCGTGCTCGCTTTTTGGTCTGCTGCAATTGTCAAGCGAGCTTTGAGCGCGGTAGCCGCTTTGAGGATCACGACTGCGCCGAGCTGATGCAGCCGTGTGCGTTGTGCGGGCAAAAAGGAGGACATGTCAATGGATGTCGCAATGG